CAAGGAGCCTTCGAAATAGCTGACCACGAAACTATAATGGGTTCCCTTCTTCGAAAATGAATGCCCCAGAAGTATGCTAACTTACTGAGATTCCTACACTCACATACCTCTCATCAAGTGAAAGTTTATAACGAACGAAGTAGCATGCTCGTCACCAGCAGCGGTGTTCATCAAGAGTGCCCTGCTTCGCCATTCTCGTTCAATTTTGTCGTAAGCGAAAATCTGGAGAATGTACCAAAAATGCTGATGATGGATGGGCACCTGGACAAAAGCTGTGACTTGGGGTACGCTGATGACATCGTCTGCCCCTTTTTTAATACAGGACGGGCAAAATGCACTTGACCGACTCACAAGTGCTGCTACGCCATTCGGAATGCGTTTTGCGCCTTCAAAATGCTGTAAGATCGGCTGTCATCCAAACCAGCTCTGGTGCTTGATGGTCAAGAACTCGATATAATGTATTGTTTCCTTTACTTAGGTAGTTGTGTGATCAACCATGAGAATGCAGTACACGAGATAAACATGCATCTCCAGGGCTCGAGCAGTGTATGCAGAACTGAAACACCTTTGGCGTAGATGTGACGTTTCACCGAAATTAGGGCTGATCATCGCCTTGCATATCCTCATTCGATTTGCATGCATCGCGAGTTTCGCAGTGATCAGTGAGGTTCGCTATAATATTCCACTGGACGATGACGGTCTGCTTCGGTGGAACCTGGAAGATCTCATTTCACCGGGTGTCTCGTTGGGTGGGCTCGTATCGGTATCGTACCTCGTGGATACTTGGCCATAAGCTTAATTGCGTGGGTGATGGTCGTAGTTCGTTCCGTTGGATCACATCATCATCATACAGCGAAATACAGTGGAATGAACTTCATTCGTTGCTGCCAAAGTCACAATGCACACAAGGTAAATGAAAGTGTGTGAAGTTGACGGGAATTGGACCTATTTCGAGATACGGAAAGGAAGGAAGCCCCTAAGAACAACACAGAGCGCACAGTCCAACTACGTATTCAGACTTTTTCGAAAGTTCTACTCTGATAAGTGACAAGGTCACCAGTATTGTCGTACCGTATCCTTCAGTATCTCCAAATAACAAGTTGCAGTCTTTTGGATCCCAACCTGGAAAGCGAGGGAAACATGCTCTACATAATCGCACTTCGCATTTTTCCAAGCCTCGTTTCCACGCCATCTGTTGACCTCCACGTGGTGCCAACCCGCCAGGAGCGACTACAGCGAATAAAGCCTGGTGCAGTAAAAGACGGCTGGGTATATGCAGTGCCCTAACCAGTGAAGACAACTGGGCCTAATTTGATGCGATAGCGAATTTCCTTTTAATACAATCCTAGCAATATGATCACTAACCTTAATATTGACCTGCTTACTCCATCCTATCTGGATGAAGCTAAGAAAGAAACTTAAACTCACATATTAAAGATTTTACAACCGTAGAGCAAAAATGAATTAACAGTGCCATTATATTTTCAAATATCAACCCCCGTGAAAGGTCACGTCTACACCAACGGTGTTACAGTTCAGTGCACTCTGCTTTGCTCCCCTACCATGGTCAGGCATTTATTGACCATCTTATTTCAAAGGAGTAGTCGACATCCTCTTTGAAGATGCATTTAGCATGTACAGCATCCAGGCATGGCGAATAAAAATAAAAGGATTGCTGGTTGACGAATCAATGATCAGCTCTCTTAAAGCATGAATTATAATTAACGCACGATGATCTGCGTAAAATTAGAACGAAAGTATGTTGTTTTTTGAGTGCGTATTATACCGCACGATTCTAATGGGATTTAATCAGTTCGCAAACTGCTAACGCATGAAAGTAAACAAATGAACAACTAACTTTTATTTAGGGCGAAGTAACCAGCACCAGAGCACTTTAGGGTACGTTCGCATAATATTCCCACGTAGTAACCCTGCTACCGCTGAACGTCGTGCACGGACAGCGATCGTCAGAAATATATGAGAAGCGGACCCATCTTCACACAGGACTGTCGCACAGAAAGTAAATACAAACCAAACACTGACACAGAAAAAATGTGGTTCGATGAAATGCACGGGCCGAGGAAAGCGGTTAGAAATCAAGATTTTAGCACACTCACTCCATCGTTCATCACCTTCGGACTCTAGGAATGCAGCCGGTATTTGTAGATAGCGATCGAGGTCTCCAGAATCAAAACCGGAAATAGAACCCAGGTCACTTGAAAGTTCTGTGTTATCTGCGGATTGCCCAGGATCCTTTGGCTTAAGGAAACTAGAATTGCTCGATTCGCTGCAAATGTTCCCAGAAGTTGGATTACTTGAACGTGGGAAATTTGAAGGAGGTGGCGCCTGACTCAAGTTCACATTGGTCATGGTGAGTATTTGGCGCTATGAAACAAAAATTGAAAGAGGAAAATACATACGGTTAGTTTCTGATGGGCAGAAAAAAAGCGACTCGTGGACAAAACTGATACGTCATAAGAACAAAGTGCGTGGTCCGTGAAAAGAAACGATTCGATCACAGAGAAAGTTAAGTGGTTCATCCGAGGTACCCATTCGCGATACATTTAAACTGAATATAACAAAATACAAAATTCTTCATAAAACAACCAGAANATATATATATATATATATATATATATACACCTGTTGACCAAACTCGTGCAACATCACCCTCATTTTGAAAACCAATTTCAGCTTGCAATACCATAGTTATATATAGACGGTTATGGGTACAGTGTATTTATTCCTGACTTTATCTCCTACATCTACTTTCTTAGTTCATTTCTATCACCATTTGAATGTGCGCGACCTTGAGTGTCGCTATAAAAGTTGCAGTAGTTCGAAAGTTACTACTCTGATTTAGAAAATATTTTGGGCAAAGTAGCATGGGTGCTCATTCTTTTTAATAGATG